AAATGTCACTGAACATTGTTTTTGAAGTTCAGTATCTCAATGCTGCCCACGACAACTACCTATCACATGAAGAGCAAGACCTCTTACACTAGGTTTTACAGCTACAGAGCAATAACTCCTCCTCCTTGGTTCCTGCAATTATAATGAAGCGTCAGAGCTAATCTGACTACCAACTTCAGGTACTTAGCCACAAATTCCCACTTAATCTGTACATTTCAAACAGTATTTAAGCAACTGGATTTTAAGGAGAAACTATTTTTATTATATCACCTTAAACACAAAAATATTCATAGTCCTTCCCATGCATGCCAAAGTTGAGCTCAGCAGCCACACTGCTGAAATCATTTGTAATCCTCAGTGTGTTATTCGCTTGTATTGCCTGATTAATTATACTAAAAAGAGAAATAAGATGAAGTGGAATGCTTCAAGTTTCATTGATGTAGATAAACTTTCAAGGACAGATATCAGAAGCATACACAAACATGGAATATTTCTGAAACAAGTAAGTAACTCAGCAGGTTTCAGAAGATACTCAGCGACTTTCCCAAAAGCATAACAAAGAACCATCTCTATCTACATATGGAATATGTGCTCTGAAATAGAAGTGGAGGTGAAAATAAAACTCAGATCCAAATTACACAGAACAGATTTGAATGTGATGGCACAAACCTCTCCCACGCTCAAGAGGCTCAGCCTGAATACCAAGTGCACGTAGCAGTCAGCAGTGCTTAAAACCCAAGTGATCAGCGGGAGACAATGAACCAAGTTTGAGTTAAAGTCCAGAAATACATGGCCTCTCATCTTAGCATTAGATCAAGTCATGTCCAGCTTTACAGCAGTAGCAAAACAACTAAGCTTCCTATGACACCACAAGAAATATTTGATTGCCATTTAAATGGATGAAGTCCTAGCCATATCAAGGTAAATACGACTACTACCAACTGTTTAGGAGCCCCTATCCCTGCTTTAACAACAGTTTAACAGAAATGTCTGACTGAAACAATTGAGAAAGTATGCAATACAACCTGTCTGCACACTAGATGCAACACTAGGCTGGACATGGTACATTCCTGCTTCCTTGGCCACTCATTCCCAGCATTGTCACAATTACATGCAGAGAAGTGCTGCAGGAGAACAGCTGTGGTCAGCTGGCTGGGCTTAAAAACAAACCTCCTGAAAAGGGTTTGTTACTGTTCCAGCTCTTACTAAGAGAAGTGTCATACAGGGGGTAGCAGGTGACACCACAGCTCCCAAAGCCAGTGTGCTGCCACCCTGGTGATCCATCTTCAGCAATGGCATGGGGCAAAGCCCAGCCTGCATTTCTGAAACCACTGCCCAGCCAACAGGAAACACTAGGGAAAACCTAACTGATCTAAATAGACCCCAGAACCCAAGATATCAATGATCTTCTTTAACCACTTTTCAATTCCCAATTGAAAAGTCAAACCCCAGTATAACACTACAATGCAATGGAAAGCACAGCAGCAACCTCAGTGCAACAACCATAGACACAGAAACAGTAGATAAAAAAAAATCCACTGACCTTTAGAAGGCCTCAGGTACACAACAAACTCCAACAACACACCTTTACCTTCATTGTCAACGCTTAAATGAGGTCTGGGAAAGGGTGGATCCCAGTTCCACCTCTTCTGGTCATTGTATACACCTGAGCTCCCCTGAGTCAGCCCTGCTTTCCCACCAGGTGCTCCATCAGTGGTTCAGGCCATGGCTTAGCATTTCTGCTACACCTATTGACTGTTTTTTACCCTTTCAGAACAGTTCTCTAGGAAGATCAGAGCAAATGACAGCTTTTTTTTATTGGCAGGAGAAATAACAAATCCTCAGAAGGCTATACTCTGTCTAGCAGTAGCCCTAGGTTTTTACATGCAGCATCACAAACGCCAGATCAAGGGGTTGTCCATGCTGCAAGTCAAGCTCTCCACAAAGGGAGCAATGCAAAGGTGCACCTGGCTGCAGGTTGAGCTCAAGCATGCTGCCTTTTTTCCTTGAAGTTTCATTCCCCTCCACAAATAATAATAATAATAATCTGCTGCTAAATCAGGCACAGGTGCAGTGCCAACAGTTCCTGAAACTGGTATGAACTCTTAGTTCTATCAACTGTTTTCAGCTTTGCATCATTTAGGTATGCTCCAGGGAGGCCTAATAAGCATAGTGCTGAACACGTCTGCAAAGTCTGAGAACAGCTTCACTCATGGCTCCTAGCACTGTTAATATTCATGCAGCTGATGTAGCATTTGAACTCTAGTCATCTTTTGTACAAATAATGTGGGTCTTGCGGTTTCCTGCTGAATTAGAGCAAGTTTTATTGTATGGTAGCCCTCTGAGTAGCACTGAGTATGATAATTAAGGAGGCTTTCTGGCTGAGGGATTTTTGTCTGTTTAGTTGTTTCCTGGCACTGCTTCTGTAAGGGGTAATTCCTGCAAAATAACATGTGTAGTCTCACTGCATTGCTTAATGAAAACAGCAAAGAAGCTGACCTCACCAGAGCTGCAGAAGACACATTATGTTAACTGTTTTTTTTTTTTTTTTTTCCTTTCTTCCAAGCTTATTACAAAGTTCAAGCCCACCATAATAGCTGAACTACAATTAATATTTGACTCACAAGTGCTAGAAGGCAATTCTTCCTAATTCCCTCTAACAATTACATAAATCTGAATGACAGGCTATTTAATCTCAGTAATGGTTAACAGTCTCTGATTACAACAGTTAATTTTACCCAAAGGAATAGCAACTACTAGTCAAGAAAGCTGTGGTAAAACCTTGCTAATGAGAAACACATTTAAAGATAGCGTGGCTAGAAGATTTCTATAAACCAGTTCATTTTTCCCTGATGAGTGTATTTTACTTCTATCATGATGAGACCGGTAAGAAAACCCAAGTACATGTAAACCCTGAAAATTTCTCAAAACTGCTTTGGAATATCCTGGGTCTCTTTCAAGTAACAGGGACTACTCCTCACTTCGACAAGCAACCGTTTTCACAACAGCTTCTTTAATTAAAACTTTTAAAGCACTCTATGTTGTAAGATATATCCTGTACAGAACAAAAGCACTGTCTCTGAAAGTGACGGTGACCTACAAAATTAGAGTCCTCTTAGGGAGCCTACTTCACTCTTACAGTACTGGTAGATGTTATGTCACCAGCCTACAGCAGCAGTACAGCATAAAGAAAGACCCTGCCCACAACAGTCAGTCTGGTTCCTGAGATAACATCTGTTTGTTCTGGATTTGAAAAGAAAGGTAGGGAATTTGCAGTATGATGCTAGGCTCTCAGATACAAATGCTTTCAATGTTTAGTGCTCCTGTGCACTGAATCTCTCTATTTCTCACCACTTTTAGACTTACAACGACATAGACTTATGCATAGCCAACAGATATACAGATACATAGTTGACAAGCCAACAGTAAAGTCAAGCTGGTCTTTAGAGAGCGTATAGCTGGAAAGACTATTACATTACAAAAGAATAAACAGAAAAGAATAGAAAAGCTTACCTGCATCCCAAGCTCACAGAAAAAGACTCCCAGAGGAATGATCCCCAGAGAGAGATCCTTCCTCAGTGGCAGTCAGCCCTTAAGTGGGGTGTAGGACAAGTGCACCCAGGCTCTATCCCTTCCAGTCACTCAGCTGAATTGCCTTCACCTGTGCTCCCATGGCTGACTATTGCTTGCCTCAGGTGATCAATTAGAGGTTCAGGCCGTGATTCAACAGCTCTCATACAGCTTATCCAATGAGAAAACACATTTTCTACAGGATGACAGGCAGTGTAGCGCTATGCTTCAAACCCGCAATGCAGTATTTATTTTTTATCATATAGTTTAATATTTTCCTTTTAAATCATTGCTCATTTATTGGCAAATTATCCCAAAGAGCACTGTCAACTGTTAAACTTTCCTATCTTTCTATTGCTCCTGGGGGCCAGAATAGCTGAGATCAAAGCTGAAACTAACCAAGAAATGGTAGAAGCATGTCTGTCAAACCACAATTATTATTTAGGATTGCACTGCTAAGAATTGGCAATGTCACTCTTTTTTCACAAGGCTTGCTGAATCTATATAGCTTTTACATTGTATTGTACAAATCCATGTAAGAGCAACATCTTGACTTCTTAGTGCACAGTTAGATTTCATAAAATTTGTTCTTTTTTTTTCTCTTAGTCTCTCACACTTCTGCTGCATTGCTGCGAAATTGAGTTAAATTAAAATCTGCTTACTCCAGAGTGCACCTACAGAAACTTGATTATATTTTACTCAGTCACAGGAAGTTTTGATTTGCTTAGATACAGGAAATTAAGAACACACTGTCAAGTAAAAGAACAACACAGGGAACAAGCTATTAACCAAAAAGTATGCTAATTAATTGAAATATAGTTCTAGGCTTAGATTCATTTGGCAGTAACGTTGATTGTAAAATGTAATCCTAGAAAAGCCCAGAGCCTAGATTTTGATGAGATGCTGTTACCACTCTGTGGTAGTGCTGATAGCCTAATTCAAATAAAGTGAAAGCTGTCTCTCTCTTAGGTAAGCTTTGGGAAAGTGCCTTTACCTCTTTTCCACTGACTTCATTAGGTTGGAGGATAAGGTGCTGATTGCCTAAAACATCAGTGTGCTGTTTTATGGCCATATAATTGAAATCCAAAGTAGAAACTTTAATTGATCAGAATATTGTGTTGCCTTTTGCAGTCAGTGCTTGGTTCTCCTACTTAACAGAATATAGAAGTCTTTTTCTTCCTACAGTTGTCTTTTTCATGTTTGTGCAAAGATTTTTTTTTTTCTTTTTTTTTTCTTTTTTTTTCAGGAGCAGATGTACAGAATAACGGTTCTGTAACACATACTTTTAGTGAGAAAATGTTGATAGCCAAAGTAATGTGACTGATCAAAATGTTAATTACATTGGAGAGCAGGACAGTGTCAGAAGTAAAAATAAAGTGTAAGCATTCAAATGTAAGTCAAAACACAAATCTTAAAGTTTGGGGAGCTACCTCTGGTGATGGAGACAAGAAATGAAGTTTGTGACAATTCTGGCTCTGCTACGGCTTCAGAGTATTCAACACTAAGATCGATCTGTAACAGAAAATATTATTCTTCCTGAAAATAAGTTTCCACTGAAGTTTCCAATGAAGTGCTGTTTAACGGTATCATAAATCATTTAAATATTACAACGGTGATTCATTAGGATGTGCTCCCACCAAACCTGCTTTGCTTAGCAGGACAGTTAAACTACCACAGCTAAATATAGATTATAAAGAAAAGGTGCTAACACTTTCAAGTACGTACTTAGACAAACACTATAAATAGCCTACCATGTTGTCAGCTAGTACGTGACAGAGGCATGGAATGGATGCTCTCCCACGGGAATTTTCTGTGCTCCCTCTGTGGCTTTTCTGGGAGCAGCTGCTCTTAGGGAGATATCTGAATGTTCTTTTTATTGTTACTAATTTCAGACCCAGTAGCAGCAAGAAAAGGCTTGCTAGCAGTGAGAAACTGAGCAGGCTGCTCAGTACAGTTTTGCGAGTGTGCTGATCTGCAGCGTCATTGGGTGTGTCAGCAGTAGGGATGGAGTTACATCCAGGTTTCACACTGGAGAGCTGAACCTGCAATGTTATATAGCTCAAGTTAAACCGAAGCTCTGTTATAAACATTTCACAAACTTTGGGTGTTTTTCTCTAATGGGCTTTCAAACAGTTTGACGTGCATAGCACAACAGTGAAGAAAGACCCCAGCAACACTCCTGTACTACAAGCCAACCAAAATATCAATACATAGCACACTTATGCCAGATGAGTTTTTCTGGAGTTATACTTGCATGGGGCTCTGGCCTGACATGCAGAAACAATTAATCCTATCATGAAAACTAGTGTATTTATATAGGCAGTCCTCAGCTAGCCTTTTCACTGATCTCATCTTTCTTTTATTTTGTGGGTTATTCCTGTCATTTACAACAGAAGAAGTGGATATGGAGAAAGAAAATGAAGGGAGGAAAAAAAGAGGTCTTACACTTTATCAGTTCAGAGAGTATCCAAAATGAGGCCATCTTCTGAGTCAGGATAAGAATTCACAAACCCTCTCTAAATACAACAGTACTGCTAGTCTATGATATTAAAGTTATGAAGTATATAAACAGATGTCTGCATCAAAGGATGGTGTTGTCACCAAGACCTTTGGTTTGAGACTGAAATTCCCTGCTGATGAGAGCATCTGTGCTATCAGATCTCTGAGCTGGCGCCATCACAGCATCTTCTTTTATCTTTACTTACTATCTTTACTTATAATCTGATCCTGGCTCTGCATAGTTATTTGCTAAACTTTCACTGCTGTTGGTTACAGTAAATGTAGTCTTCTTTTGCCCAAGCAGGGAGGAGGCTTGGGAAACAAGTTCCTGTTATTTGGCTACATCTGTGAAAATCGACCTTGTCTATCTTGGAAACTTCTCTTTCTCAGACCTCTACTCCCAAATCTGCTACTAAGAAGCACTGTTGAGTGTTGGGCTATTACAACTCTCGAAAACAACATCTTGGATAGCTTTTTTTTGTTGTTGCTGTTGTTGTTTTTTCTTTACCTGTTCCTTTTACTGGAACAGAAAATGTACATTTTAGCTTTGCCTGAGCTTGGTATCAGCACAGTGCAAGCCACTAGGATATAGCTACCTGTAAATTATTGGGGAAATAGTCTCGAAAAAGTAAATAATAATGAGTTTAAATTACATTAGTCAAAATGGATTATACCTTGTAGATAAGGCCTCTTTCAGCAGTAGTTTCCCATACAAAGAAATCCTGTATACTTTATCTTCAAACAGCATTTGAAGCTTACATAGAACCCAATAAAACCAGAAATATAGGCAAACACATCAGGTTAAAATGCTGTTATAGCACTTGAATTCACCCCGTTTGTTTTGTTATTTCACCTTACTATTTGTGCCATTTTAGAGCTGACATAGTATAACACAAGGTTGGCTTTGCTCTTCAATATATTTTTTGCAGATTTGTTACTAAGTTGTATGTTCTACCTCTCCTAGCTAACTCAATGTTTTCAGATCATCATGTCATTTTTTTTTTTCTGTGCCTTTTAACATATAATATTTTCAGTTACCAGGTTCACGTGGCATTTTTGATTTATTTCAGTGAAATTTTTCTTAGGTGTCTTTTAAGCAGAATAAAAAATTTGATAGATTGTAGTCTTGATATTAAGCTTAATATCAACCTTTTGTACAGATAGTAGTCCATCAAGAGTAACAACATTACAGAAAGAAAACATGCTGACAGTCAGCAGGTATACAGCTTCTAGCTCAAGTGTTCATACAGTGCATTTCTAGCTCCATCATTACTACATGCATGGTAAAGTTTAGCGTTCTCACTGGATTAGATGTTAGAAACACAACAATTCAGCTCAAAACTGTTCAGTATTTTGTTTTAAAAATAAATTTCATTGAAACTGTATGTGCGACGGCACTAAAGTCTGGCACACAACAGAATCAGTCTCGCTGTTTAGTTCTGCCAGAATATTGATCTGCAGTATGATCGCTGTTTTTATCCCTACTTTCGAAACAGAGTCAATCATGACAACATTCCAATGAAAGACTGGGTGCTGAACCATCCTAATCTGTGACTAATAAAAAATCCTAACATTTTCATTAAATCCAGTCTCATCTCCATCATTACTGCTGGCAGAGGAGCATTCTTCTGTTTCTTCAGCGAGGCATCTGTGATGATCAGATGGCCAACTTCTTCCTTTGTGTCACTCCTGCAGGCCTTTTCTTCCCTTCCAATTCATTCTCGATATCCCAGATGTGTTTAATCTAGGAGTTATTTGAAGGGCAGAGGGAGAACACTGCAACAAAGCCAGGAGAACAAGTGAGGCTTTGTGACAGAGGCAAGAATCACAGAATCATTTGGTTTGGAAAAGAGCTCTAAGTTCACCTAGCCCAAACATCAGCCCACCACCACCATACCCGCTGACCACCTCCCTCACTGCCCCATCCACGTGGTTCTTGTATGCCTCCAGGGATGATGACTCCATCACCTCCCTGGGCAGCCTGTTCCAGTGCCTCACCACTCTTTCTGAGAAGAAATTTTTCTTAATATCCTACTCAAACTTCTCCTGATGCAACTTAAGGCTGTTCTCTCTCACCCTATCACTGATACCCAGGAGAAGATGCTGAACCCCACCTCGCCACATCCTCCTTTTAGGTAGTCACAGAGAGTGATGAGGCCTCCCTTGAACTTGCTCTTCTTCAGACCAAACAATCCCAGTTCCCTCAGCTGCTCCTCAGAAGACTTGTGCTCCAGACCCTTCACAGGTTTGCTGCCCTTCTCTGGACACGTTCCAAGACCTTGATGTTTCCCTTGCAGCAAGGGGCACAAAACGCAGCAGACGTTCCTGGTGCTAGCTAATACCTCTGCTGATCATGAAGCGCTGCCTCCCGCTTGAGCCACTCTTGAGATGCTGTGGCTCTCACCCCCCTGCTCTGCAGATTGAAATTCTGCCAGCATCCCATCCTTGGCACTGCGCCCAAAGTCAGAGCTGAGACCAATGCTAGCGTGACTGGTAACAGCTTTAAAATGAGGAAGAAAAAAAACACGAGAGAGCAGTTTGGAGACTCAGATAAGCTCAGCCATCTGTTTGTAATACACAGGAAGAGAAAAATCAGGTAAACAAGGTTATGGCAAGGGATAAAGAAACATCCAGCACAAGATGATGGGGAGTCAGAAGCAGCTGCTGAAGCGGAGGAGCAGATGGGAAGAAGATAGCTGGCAACTGGAAGCCATTTAGCGCAGGGAGATGGCCTCTGGCCTGGCTGGCTCAGAAGGCAGAGCAGCGTCTGCCCGCACAGCCCCGTGGACAGGCTGACATGGCACACATCAGCACACAGAGAGTGGGGAATGCCAGAGGTGAGTAACATAGCCGATATGGATTTTGCTCTTCTTTTAGGATAACAACATGACCAAGCAATGCTTTTTTTTTTTTTTTTTTTCCCCACATGCTGTGAGCCTTTCTGGTGCGCAGCCACCTCACACACCGAAGGAGTAGTTATTAAATGCTTTTATTTTTTGCTACCTTGCATAACACGTACTAAGTGGACTCATTAAGGTCCCATATAACGACCACCCTGTCACAGATGTCAGACGCTGCCGTCGTCATCGCTATTTTGCTTTGAGATCTAGGAGGGCAGAGCACGTGCAAGCATTGCTCCGATGAGAACTGAGAACTCGGTGTGCGACACGCGGAGCACCTACAGTTGTCACGGAGCCTGAGCAGCAGAATGCGCTGCTGGGGTCGGGTGAGCTGCTCCTCTCTGCAGCCACCTTCAGCCGGGGGGCCTATGGCGAAGGGGAGACCGCTCGGGGGGCGGGCGAGCAGCCACAGGGACTTAATGGCAGCACAGCGCGCCTGAGGGGGCTACTCCTGACCGCCCCGCATCCCGACGGTGCAGACATATGCTCAGTCACGCACCCGAGCCGCGGTTTCCCGCTGAGCGGCATGCTCGGCAGCCCCCAGGCGCGCGTCCCCACATCCCGCGACGGCGCCTCGGCGACCTTCAGGCCGTCGCCATAGCAGCGCCAACGCGCGGCCCTTCCCGGCAGCGGGGCGGGACCACGCGCACGTGCGCTCGGGCAAGGGCTTCGCGCCGTCTCCGCCCACCGCGCCGAGCTCTCCGTCGCTCCGCCCCGCGCGGCGGGAAGGGGTGTTGCCATCCCGCGCGCAGCCGCCGTCGGGCCTCTTGCCCGGCGCGGCGCCGCCTCCTTGTCCCGGGCTGAACCGTGCCGCCGCGGAGCTACCTGCTCGGCTCCACCTTGCCCTTCGCGCGCGTCATCGCCCCGCGCCGCCACGGGGAGAGGGCGGGGCGTGTTGCCGGGTTACGGCTGTCATCCGCACGCGCCGCCGCGCTGCTCGCTCGTTCGCTCTCGCTCGCGCTCTGTCTCTCTCTCTCTCTCCCTCTCTCTCTCTCTGTCTCGCCCGCCCTCCCCGCCCTCTCTCGCCGCCGCCGCCGCGAGGAGCGGACCCCGGGGCGCCCCCCCGCGCCACCCCCACATGCCGCAGAACGCAGCGGCCGCGGCGCCGCGCCCCGCCGCCCGGCTGGGCCTCTAGCGGCCCCCCCGCCGCTGCAGCCGGGCCCGGAGTGCATGAGAGGGGGAGCGGGCCGGCGGCGGCCCCAGCCACTTGCCTCCCGGCCGGCCGCGGCGGCGGCGCAGCGCCCGGCCCGGGGGGGCAGCGAGGGGCGGCGGCCCCATGTGAGGAGGGGCGGCGCCGCCGCCCAGCCAGCCCGGGGCCCGGCCCCAGCAGCGCCCCGTCGCAGCGGGGCTGGACGCTGCCGTCCCCGCGAAGCCGCCCGGGGCCCCGCGGCGCAGGCAGCCCCGGGGCGGGGGGCGGCAGCCGGCCCCCTCCCTGCCGCCGGGCGGGCGGGCGGCTGGGAGCGCACGGAGGCAGCCGAAGGACAGCCCGCCGGAGCCCGTCCCGACAAGTGAGTACCGGAGAAGAGGGGGCGGGGGGCACCGCACCGCCGCTCTTTGTGTCCGGCGGCGCGGCGCGGGGCGCCGAACAAAGAACGCGGCCGGCGGGAGCGGGGCCGGGCCCCGCGGTGGGCCCGCCTCGTGTGCGCGGGAGGGGGTCGAGCGGCGCGCCGTGCCCCGCCGCCCCGCGTGCGGCCGGCTCGCGTGGGGCGCCGCTCTGGGAGCCGCACGGGGAGGCGCCGGCCGGGAGCTGGCTTTGCTTCCCGCGTTCTCGTGTGTTTTTAAAGCCAGAAGTGGAGAAGTTCTTCACAAAGCGCCAACAAGTGCTCCTGCTGCACTGCCAGATCTGCCAGGGAGGCTGGGGAACGGCTTCTGGGGCCATCCCGTTGTATGGAGATGGTTTTTGTGGGTCTTTCTTTTTTAATTCTTCTTTTCGTTTTGCATTTTTGTAGTCCGTAACTTTGCTCTGAGCAAACAAACAAACAAAAAGTCCTGAAACAATAAAGAAAAAGAAACAAAACCCAAATTGTTATAGTGGAGTGTCCCATGCTTCAATGGAGAAAATAACACTTGTTTTTCACCAGAAAAACAGTGTAAGAAAGTTCTGTCCATCAGTGCTGAGTTGTGCTACTCCTGGGTTTACTCTCATACACCGATGTTTCTTTCACACCTGGTGTGCTAATGGGAGAGCAGCTCAGGTGCTGTTTGTTTGCTCAGGCAGTATTGAGACACAGGTGCAGAAGCCAGTTCTGCTCTAACTGCTGGCTATGTGTTTGCCACTGGCCCTGGTTCTTCTTAACAGCCTGGAAAGCAGAAGGGAATGCAATGGTAGGCAGTGCCTTATGTGTGTGCCTGCTTCTTTTTGAGACAAAACTTTCTGGCAGATGGGAAGAGTCTATTTTAGATGAATTTCTCTCTGTTCTAAGCATCTTGTTGTCACTGTAGTCTTAAAAAGGTGTGCGTCTGTGTGTGGGTGGGGAACCAAGGTCTCCATTCAGATGAACTTTTGCTTTTTTTGCTCCAGGAGCCAGAGTTCAGGAGAGGAGTTTTCCTTCTAATCACTGAAGGGAACTGAGCACTGAAGGTGCTGAAGGGATGGTCAGTGCTATTGTTTATTTATTGCCCACAGGAGTCAAAAGGCACTGCATCTCCCCCTACTCCGGTGTGGTGATTGCATTTGCTTTTATGTCACTTCTTGGCTTCAGACTTAAATTTGTCCTTTCCTGCTCCACTGTCCTGTTTCTAATAACAGCCCCATTCTGTCTGTTGGCAGCTCCAGGCATGTATGTATCTCGAGAATATGTGGTCTTATGCTATTAAAATGACTTTTTTCAGGGTTTAAGTAACTTTTCCTATTCCAGCTTACATCTAGTCAGAGTAATTCTTTTGTTCAGGCTGAACTATCTTTTACTTTTACACTGGCGTCTCTTTGGTAGCAGAGACATTCCTTTATCAGAAGGTATGTGAGTTCCACCTGTTTCAGCTTTTAGAGGAGCTTTAGAAAAAGAAGTCATTTATGTCTTCAGACTGACTGTCGGACCAACTCTGCTTCTTCCCACTGCATGTGCACGCGCTGCTTTGAAGAACTTCAGTGGGATTTCTTCTCTGAGCTGTCAGGAGAGGAGTGTGTGCGGTGGTTTAGGCCTGGTGATGTCATTGAATGAAGTTCTGTCTCTTTAAGGAAACCAAGCATCTTTTAGTCAGCGTTAGTCATGTAGTCTGTGTGAAGTTCAGGCTGCTCTTAGCAAATGTGTTTAATCTTTTTGCTGTTCCTCTTAAGAATGCAGCCACACTGACTGAGTTTACATGCATTGCATTTGAAATAAAAGGGCTGTTAAGACAAAAGAGCTGAAGCAGAGCTGCTCCATCTTTTTCAGATGCCAGTTGTGTGTATCAGGTAATTCCTGAAAGAGAGAATATGAAATGCTTGCAATTTCTCCTGCAAATTCTCTTGTGTGATAGAAAGTACTGTAGTTATTTGCAGACACCGAGGGGTGGGTCTGCACTGACACATTCTTGGTGGTCGCAGGATAGACTAAGGCTACTTACCAGGATTGCTTCTACAGACCTGTGACAGCAGGCACTTGAGATATTTGTTTGATGAGGGCTCATACCCGTGAAAGTTTCCAAGTCAGCTGATTGTTAACAAAATTCTTGGTCTTGCGGTTTGGTGGCACAGCCACTGGTGCTTCTGGAAGCTGTGCTGGCTTAAACCAAAGGCTGGCTGGGCCCGCTGCCCTGCGGTCACCCTTGTGTGAGCAGCAGCGTGTGCAGCTGGCTGCTTTCCCCAGGGCACCCTGCCCATGCCTGTCCCCTTGTGGCTTTGGCTGCTTCGTTCTGGGCATCCAGCCTCCTGTGGTGGCTTGCTCTCGTGTGAATGGGGCTTGGAGGGAAGAGCAGATATGGTTTATGTAAGTAAACACTTCCACTTGCAGCCCGTATCCCTGAAGTTTATGCTTAAAAAATCCCAATCCCCCTCACCCTTCTCCCTTACCTTTGAAATAGTGGATATCTTTTGAGAGCTCAACTAAAATGATTCCGATTTGGGAAAATAGGCGTATATACTATAATTTAGGTTACAAGGCCATATGCTTCAAAATTAAGCAGTATCAGAATAAAAAGGATTTCTGAGTTCAGTCTGGTTTGTGCTCACTGTGACAAAAAGTACATGATCTCCCTTCTAGGCTGCTCGTCTTTGCAAAAAAGACAGGTCTTGATTCTGCAGTAGCTCTTCACTGTATCTGCTTGGTGCTCCAAGAAACCATTGACTGTATTTTTACAAGGGTGAAACGATGTATTATTCTATAATATCGTGTCTTAAGGTATGGGCAGTTATCTTCTTCCTTTTCTGCCTCAAGATGTTCAAGATGTCACTGTCAGCTAGAGAGCATGGCACCACAGCTTGGCTGGTAAGAGGAGATGTGAAATACTTCTTATTGTTCCAAACAAATAAGTTTAGCTCAGGTAATCTTTGCATTGTGAGCTGAGGTGGTTGGCTTCTCACCGAAGGATGAGGATTTTGCCTGTATGCTTTTTCACTGGCAGAATACTGATGTGATTTCAGCAGTAAATGTTCAGTTGCAGATTACCTGTGGAAGCAGGTTTGCTCTCAAACAGCTGTTCCACCCCCTTCTGGGTCCCTCCAAGATGGTCAGTGGTGGACATTGCTATCCAAGCCAGCAAAATTTGTTGAGTTTTCTTGATCAATTGCAAATAGGGTACTGGAATGGAGAGGTGTGGGATGTTCCATCTCTACGCACTATTGCTAGTTTTGCCTCTAACTTTGGAGTTGTACCAGTATGATGCATTTTGCAATTCAGTTCACTTGACCTCAGCTTTTAAAATTGTTTTTGGAAAACACAAAGGGCAATTTCTACTTGTGTCTCAGAACACTTCAAAAATACTGATCAGATTTATTAACCCAAATATATTGTTATTGTGATTAAAAAAAAAAAAAAAGCGTTTCTATTTCTTTTGGAAATTGTTTGATCTCTTTCTGATGGGTCTCATAAGGCTGCTTTGTAGCCTCTATGGCTACAAAGCCTTGTTACTTCTTGTTACTTGTAACAAAGCCTTGTTACCTCTGATGGTAATAGATGGTTGGTGGCCAGTCTGCCCTACGGTGGATTTAGTTTGTTATTGGCTTGAAATGGGGTAGCTGTTTATAGTAAAGGAACAGTGCTAAGGTGGCTGAGGTTGAGTAAAGCCTTCTTTTCAGAGATTGGGCAACTGAAAACGGTTGAAACATGAATGTTTTCAAGTGCTTTCTTTCTTGGAAACATTTCAGTAGTTTGGATTAGAACCACGGGTGCTTGAGCAAGTATTTTTTGGAAACACAGGCCTTTCTTCTCACCCTCTCATCCTCTGAGGGCAGGGCCTGCTGCTGAAGCAGCAGTTTCTACATACAACACCCATCCCCTCACCAGGGTGTGAGAGCCACCCAGGGGTGGAGCTGAGAGCTCTGGGGGCCTGGAAGAGCACCCTGCAGAGGAGAGAGTTGGAGCTGTGGGATGAGGAATTAGGATTGTGTCCTCTAAACTCCTTGTCAGTCTTTGGCAGTGAATCTTGGGTGCTTATATGGCCATGGCCACTGCAGCATCCCGGGTTGATTCAGTCTTGGTTCCTGTTTTTGTGTGTGGATCTTCCTTGAAAATTAGAAATCTGCACTCATTCTAGGATTATTGTTAAGCTTGTTCCTACATTCTGGTTCCCTGACTTTGTGGTCCAGTGTTGATACCTCTCTCTGAAGGAAGTGCTGAGAGGGGAAGTGTTGCTTTGGGTAAATGGAAACGTGGGAGGAGATCTTGCAGCCATACATGTTACTGGAGGCTTCTCTTGTGTGTTCCTCTTATTGGGACTAGCTGAGATTTGAAATAGATGATGGGGAGCCAACTGCACAATGAGTACTGAGAGTCCACTTTAAATGGAACGAAATATCACTGAACTCATTAATGCAGCTAAGGTTAGTCAGCTTAGTTTTGTGTTGTGGGTTGTGGCTTTTACTTTGAACTTAAGAATGACAGGAACTGCAAAGCCAAGGTGTGTGTTGTTGACAGTAAGTACTTAACTCTGTCCTCTTTGATTGGAAGAGTGTCCTTATTGCCTGCCTTGGCTCTGGGCTCTCATGGGCACCAGTGAATATTCTAGAAGCACGCATTTTGCAGGATAAATCTTTAGCATGTTTTCTTTAAGACAAAATATGACATTTACATCTGCAGTAGCATACAGGATCTGCTTATACTCATTAGGGATTCTGCCTCATTGCAAACAGCGTGTAAGAGGATGTTCTTTTTGATGTAAAATGAAAAGCTTTGTAAGATAGAATGTACATCCTCATAGATCTGCAGGAGTGAAAGCAGTTGCAGTGCTTTCAGAAGTGAACAGGCTACTTCAGGACAAGCTGCTTGCCTTACTGAATGAGTGATAAACCCAAAACACCAGAGGCTGACGCCAATGAGGAAGAAAAGGTTTCGAGCTTTTTTCCAGCTTCCCTTTTTAGGAAAGTAAGCAG